CTTCCCTTGATTATCCTTAAATATACCTTCAATTGATTATCTCAGATTTCATTTTTCAGATGGTCTGCTAGTGAATGGATTAACTGGTACCATCTTTGCCTAGAGATTAATTTATCTATCCAAGTCATTACAGGCCATTTACTGTGCTCTCCAGCCTAAAAACTACTTAATCATGCAGAAGGCAAAAAGCAGAGCCCATTTAGAAATCCTGTAATGTCTGTACTGAACAGTGAAAAGGGACTCTCTGTAATACTGCAAATGTTACTTTCCCACCCTGATATGTTCTCTTTCCGTTACTGCCCTTGTGGCCAGCACTGTGTGTTCATGGCTAAGCTCATCTCCCAACATCAGTTACAGAGATACACGTCAAGTACAAAAAGGAACCTGGAAACAGTAGGCACAATTTGTGCTAGGAAACAATCCACAGTGCTAGGCAAGTCTGCTGAGACACAGATATATAAAGAAAAGGTAATACTGAATTAGAAATAAATTCTTGTACCTAGCTTCGTTTCTAAAACTGCAGGAGCACTTTTTAAATTATTTCTTAGAATCTCTAACATATTCTGTAATAGCTCCAAAGGCTATTGTATCATCTTTAAAGGATGAAGCATCATCGTATTAGGATGTATGCTAACCTACAGACAGAAAACAACTTCAGCTTGAAAGCGACTATCACTTGAAGAGATTGGACAAAAACACATGATCTTTTAAAATTAAGAACTAAACAATTCAGCACCTCCTGTAAATAGCACGGTTCCTTCTTACAGTTAAAAACATCAAGGTTAAGATCATCTAGGGGACCAAAATACCTTTAATAACCAGGACTTGACTGCCCTTGCAATCACTATCACAATTAAAACCTCGTTTAGCAGTTAGATAATCAGAGCTAAAGCCTCAATCCTACAGAGCTAAAACTTCAATCCTATTAAAAAGAGACACTTCAATACGGAGCATGTGTACAGTTTCTCATGCACACAAGCACAGGAAAGTTACAGACAGGAAAGCAGAGGGACTGCACAGATACCAAATCCACAGGATGGAAAGAATCAGCTGGCGTGGCATTTTAAGGCATAAAACTCACATGAAGAGAGCTAAATTGCAGGTGTAGATAGAGCATGACTTTCTAATAATTCTTAACTAAACTGTTATATCAATAGAAAATAATTCCACCTCTCTCAGGTCCTGCACGAGAGCAGCCTGCCTGATTCCCATCCACATTTAGCTGCCAGGGGAAGCCTTTGGCCCCTGGTTACATTTTGTCAGCTCAGAAGGGGAATTCTGACACCCAAAACAACAATTAGTTGAACTGGAACAGTAGCTGACACATGGAAGTGATTCACACCTTTATTGTACGTAGGCACCACATTTATTACAACTGAGTTTATTATGAGACTCATAAATGATTTTAAAACTAATCAATTTCAGCATTTCTTGAAAAGAATTTCAAAATTACAAACTCTTAAATGAAGAAAGCAGGGTCCTATTTACCACAGGCTGGACACAGACCAAGTTCACGCCACAGCTCTGAAGAGTGTACTCTGGCATATTCCATACCAGAGTTGTCCTGTTCAGCTTTAAGGCAAAAACCCTAAACGTCATCTTGAAACTACAATACAGATAATGCCAAAAAGTCCAAAGTGGTTCACCAAAGGACGCACAAAAGTATTTTACATCAACTCACATCAGATGGAGAATAGTTCTGTTCCGCTCAGCCCTTATCCCTGCTTCCACCTGATGTTTCAGGTGGACAGAAGAACAACAAAAAAAAAATCAAAAAGGAAACTTATAGCTCAAAAAAAGGAGGCTTACACCATAAAAAAAAAATATGAAAAATAAGAAAAAAAGGTGCTTGATCCCGCATTTCACTGTCAGGTGTTTCTTTCAGTGAAGATAACAGGCTTTAACTTCATGCCATCCTATATCACAACCCTAAGAGAAAGCTCATCTGGGAAGATGAAACGGCAACATCAGGAAAGGACATGATAAAATAGGCAAGGAATACACAAGCAAACAATCTCTGCCACAAAATCTTGTATTTTCTGAACTAGCTTAAGCAGTACCTAAAATTATATCCTTGCATTTGAAAGGAAGAAACACTCTAAATAGCAAGAGTCAGTAAACATCAACACATTCTCTAAAAAGAAGAATCTTTAGCTGCTACATTATTTCACCAGGGGAGAAACTCTGCATTCCTGAAACCCTGACAGTGCAGCAGACCAAAAAGAAAGGTTTTACATCAGTTATCTACGGCATCAAAACTCAACTCCAGAACTTACTATATCCCTCAAGAATGCTTAAGCATTCATAGAAAATTGCATCAGATGAGCCTTGTTATTCCAGAGGAGAATTATAAAGATCCATGCTTCTTCATAAACATATAAAAAACACGGCAGAGAACAAGTTATTGGTTTGTTAATGACGTTGCTTAATGCACTGCTGCGAAGTGTCTCCATGCTGTGCTGAGAATTAACACAGCTATCACTAAAGACACTCAGCCACTTGGTCATGTTGCCAGGAAACTGCTGCCACTGCCACCCTGCTACAGGGGAAAGATTCCGCAGCCATCGCAACCCCCCCCGGCCCAACATAGACATCTCTGTTTTCTTTTTAAAATCACTGCTGCTGCGCATACCTAAAATTATCTTTTCCTCATAAATATCATTCTGTAATATAAGCAGCTGAGTCGGTTGTTCCCTCAAGGGTAGTAATTTAATGGCTTTTTCTATTTCAGACCACAGGTCAATTCACAATTTGTTTGGTCGGTGCATCTACTATATTATGCTGAGTGATAGCAAAAAAGCTCGCTCCCATTCCTTTGGGGTATAACTTCTGACTAAGAGATAGAGGTTATGTCACAAAAAGTACAGATTTTCTAAAATAAAATTCTAGAATCCAGTCAAAGAAGAAATTGGAATTAATTTTGACAGCACTAATAGAGGAACCAGCACTCTCTTCTCATAACTTCTGTAAAAGCAAGGTTCACTTCTCTTGTCACGTATGTTCTGAAAGCTGAGCTCCGAGAATACGCTACCAAGTTCTTCAGAAATGAGGATCATCCAGTGCCCATCATAAAGAGAAATAAGCTTCACTTGAATGACACAGGGAAGACACAGGTTTGGAAACAGCTTCCAGGAATTAATCCTGATTCAGGCCACTTCCTCGGGGCAAAACCAAATTTCTGCTTAATAAACTGTATTACCATACAAAAATCACACACAAGAGTCTAAGCTGCTTCTCGTTGCTCCACCAATCCACAGAGTTCCACTTGCTGCTTCTGCCAAAAACACCATCTTCAGCTGAGCTTATCATAACTTAAAATTTTATTCTCTTCTTTTTTTGCCTCCTTTTTCCTCCTTTTTTAAGGGCTAGTGCCCCAGGGCCTCCAGATGCAGACTGCCAATTTCAGGAAGGTTGCCCACAGAGCACCGAGGGCTCTGTACTACAAACACTATGTATGCTCCCTTGGTTATATCCAGCTCTTCAAGGGTACTCCCTTCTCAATAAATCATGAGTTCCACAAAGCAGTACCTCAAGCCACACGCGCAACTCAGTATCTCTCAGCAGCAAATAAAGGGGAGGAGACTGGACTTTTTTTTAAAAGTCATTTAAAACAAGTCATAAGTGGCTCAACTCAACTGCAAAATGATACCCTGAGTTAAATCGGCTCCTGCTGTTTATGTTCTTGCTGCAAAGCCCATGTTTCCACATCCCATTTGGCTTTACCAGGCCAAAAAAACCTCTGATTAAACAAACTGAGTGTATCAGTGAGTAAAGCAGTAACTCCCAAAACAATATTCTTAAATAACCTCTTGTCTTAAAAACACACTATAAGAACTGCAGTTCACTTATCTGGAGAAGAAATTACACAACTTCCTAATAAAAAGCAATTACAGGTAATTTAAACATTGTGATTAATGGACACTAGGAGTAACAGAATTTAAAATTACTTTCTAAAGATAGATCTGGAAGAGGACCAAACTAACACGTAACATTAAAAAAAAATAATAATAATCTGGTTTATCCCTGGATTTCTTTTGAACTATATTCAATTCAAGATACTACAAAAGAACTGGAAAAACAAAGAGCTTTATTGATGTCCCCAGCCATTACACATTTTGTTAAAGGTGATATAATTTAATGTAAGCCATTCCAATTGCCAAAGAGCATTCACTAGTAGAAAAGGGTTTCTTCAGCTCTCTCAAAAACTTCTTCCCAGTTCTCCCGGTCTCTCACATGCTTCAGGTGCCCTACAATCTCTCAGAGTGAAGTGTTTTCCTGGTGGGCAGCACTGGTAACCGAAGCAGACAGCAGAAGGTGGAGAAGTTTGGCATGGTGAGATGTGAGATTTCAGTGCATGAGATGTCTGATACGCAGCTGTGAGCCTCCTCAAAGAGTCGATGCTTCAGAACTGCCCTTTACCAAGTAAATGCCACAAAAGCACAAATCAACAGGCTGGTGCAGGACAGTGTGGGCAAGTTCTGCCCATAACTACTTAATGGGAAAAGGGGTCAGAAAATAATATAGTTTTCGACTATATTATTTTTCAACTCAAAGAGACACCCAGAGAAAAGAGCAACATGGAGGAACAAGTAGCAAGCAATGGTATGGTCCTAGTGCCTGCTGTCTACCTCAAGCCAGCATAAAAAACAAAGAGCTTTCTTTTTCTGTCACCAGAAGATAGAAGTGTGTACTGACAGTCTGTTAATTGCTTTTACGACTAGAAAAGAGACTGTACACTCCCCACAGTCCACTCTCTGAAGTAGCTCAGAGAAGCAAAAGCACACACCAATATTGTCAACGTATTTTTCTACTTTTGAGTGCACTTTTGCATGAAACTCAGCATTTTTGCAACTAATTTCAAACAAAGCGGATACTATAAAAAAAAAAAAGAGTAAACCAAGTAATTAATAAAAGCATCTCCCATCGTACACGGTTTGCATCTAACCAGTGTCAAGTCTCAGATGTCACAGAAATGGCCTGTAGAGACCTAGCATGCTTACCTCCGTATTTGACTGTAGTGAGTGTCCATCCTGGGCTGCAGATGGTACTATTGCCCACGTGATGTTGGCACTAGCAGATGATAAAGAGCTGAGGGCACCATTTTTCAGTTGCTCTGTGGAGTGCGACTTGGGCCCAGGCCATCCCAGGATACCTTCTGAAGCAGAAAATGAGTGTCAATTTACAAGAGACAGATGACAGATTTCTTCCATTCATCGCACCATTCTACTAATATAAATGAATTGCTATCTCTTCTCCATGCAGTTTTACTTCAGTAACAAAAATATCCTAGCATCTTTTATTCCAATTTATCTGTGAGAAGTTTGAGGGTTTTTTTGAAGTCATCAATGAAGGAAGATTTTGAAATGTTACTCCTACCACCAGATGGAATTATGCATAAAGATTATACAATCTGGCACACCTTGGTAATTAAGTAAGTATTCTCTATCCACTGTTTTCATAGTTACGAAGTTATCCAAGTAAACACTCCATTTCTTCTGCCTGAAATCAAAGTTTAAGCTTAGCAGCTGTGTTTTATTTCTATCTATACCACTAAAAGCTCTTTCTAGACTAAGTGCTAAAATGCTTTACTGGTCCGATGACCACAGTTTAGAAGAGGTCTATTAGAAAGATACACATTAAATATCAATCAAACAGAACTAGACATCAGAAAACCCCTTATTTCTGGGGGCATCTGATTTCCAGGATGGGCCAGTATTTAAGGATGCAAATACAAAAAGAACAATAAGCTAAGGCAGCTGCAGAGTTGTTCCTGCTTTAATGCTCTAAAACATAGTATCAGCATCCAAATCAGTAGCCCTCAGCATAGGCCTTAAATTTTAGCTATTAATTACACACTGCTATAAAATGCAGAGATATGGATAAGAAAATCACAGCTCTTCAGTCATTACCATAATTTGTGTATGAAAACACAATTAGTGCCACAGGGAGGATCTCCTCATCACCGACAACTTTTTAAGATGACCCAAATCAACACAAAGTACGGTAAAGAACATGCAGTTTCTCCTCTCCATATCACAAGGGGTTACCAGAGGTTGCCTCCTAATTAAAGTGAATGGTTTGATCTGAGTAAATGGTTTGCTATTATAAATAGGCCACAAATTCTATAGCTAACCTCTTACCAAATTCTAAAGATAAAATAATTACAGAACATTCCTCCCATCTAAAATGGCACTAGGTTACGATGACATGACAAAACTTCAGGTCTCCTTGCTTAGCATGATTTTGTGGCACCATTTTTGCTGAAGAAAGCATAAGCAAACAGTTACGTATAAAATGATTTTCAAAGATCTGAGTAACAAACAGGGAAAAAAATCCAGGTTTTTTTTTTTTTTTTTAATATACATTTCACACAATGACTCAAATTTCCCATTGCTAAAGGAAGAGCACCTCTGTGGCTCTGCTGTCAGGCCACACACTGTGAAGTTTTTTGGGCTTCAATGACTTTGAGAGTGATGCCAGTAGATGTTCTAAGTCCCCGTCAAGTTATATGAACCATGTGAGAGAAAATGCAACTATCAAACAAAAAGTTGTTTTGTTGGATTGGCTGTACACCACGCATCAGGAAACCAGCATCTGCCCCCATTCCAAAGATGGAGTTAAATCAACACACACTGTTGGTATCTCCTTGTTTGTTCCTCAGGTCTTGAGCAATTTGCTGCCAGGAGCAAAGGGTAACCCCAGATCCCTCAAAACAAGCTCTGATTGAGAGGATAATCTGAAGATTGCTTTGGCAGATCCAAAATTGTCTCTCACTGCATGGGAGGAAGAAGCACGAACATTAAAACTAAACTGGAAAGTTTCAAATAAAAATTTTGGTTCCTTGGAGGAAATTCATATGTCTCTAAATAATTTTTTAAAATTTACTCTTTTTGATGTTAATTAGTACAGATTTCAGAAAGGGAAAAAAGGCAAAAAGTTAAAATAAACTTCATTTTTGAATAGCGACAAAGAGTTTTATGGAGCATGCCCATGCTTCTCACTTTTCATTACTTTGCAGTAATGAATCTCAATCTATTTTTCTGTTTCTCCCTGTCAAACAGCCGAATATTGGATTATTGATGCTATTTTCATAATAGAGACTAGAAAAAAATTAAATTGAACAGACTTCTCTTTATGCCAGTCTTTGAAAGTAAGTCATCTGATCACTTCCTTGGGCTATCCGTTTTCTCTCCGCACACACAATCCACTTGGCCTTCACTGTAAACAATTATTTTTTTAATTAACATTTTAAAAAAAATTTAATTTCTGTAAATAAGCACAAGAAAAAGCTCTGACTTGAATAAATACCTTGCTTCAGGGGAATTTTTTAAGTATGAATGTTTTCTTCACCACCACTTGCATATTTTAAAAAACACTATGCCAGTTTCCCTCTTCAGTAGAAAAACACCATAAAAAGACTATTTACTTTATCTTTCTCCACACATTTTAGAGACTCTCTTACAGAAATAGAAACTGTTAGAACTATGCAAGCATGTTTTTCCACCCGTCCCAAGGGCAATGCTACCTTCACGAAACAACAAATCTTGTCAGCTTAATCAATTTTTAAACAGATCTGAGCACATTATGACCTAGCCAACACCAACAGGATGCCAAGAGTTAAGGCCCAAAGGATAAAGCACATCTGTTTCCTCAACACCTCTGCATAGGAGAAAAATTGTTTTGTTAAATTCTGTCTGCCTGGAACTTGACTACTTTGCAGAAGAGACATGTGCAGTAAAAGATACTAGTCATATGCCACAGAAATCTAAATAAATAAAAAAGTCAGCTCTCTGAACGAGCTGAAAAAATTCCATGCCTAGTTTCAAAGTGCCATCAGGGCACCTTTGATGATCTTTAATCTACAAATCTTACTCTGAGAAGTCAGCATTCTCATATCATCCCAAGGGAGCTGCTATATACCTAATACAGCAGTCTATTTTTCAGGCAAAAGCAAAACACGAAGAGAGAACTTATCAGAAATAATCTTAAAATCAACTAAGCTCAGAATACTATATATATATATGTAGAAAGTGAAAGGATGCAACAACATGGCTCCTACTTCACTCACATTATCATCTGTACATCCAAAATGTTTGTCTGCACTAGTAGAAATTACAGAGTAATTAAGCTTTTAAGACATAAAAGCTAAATATGTTATGAGAAAAAGTTTACCTTCAGGGTTACAGAATGACAGAACTATAGGGGTTAGAAGAGACCTTCAGAGACCTTCTAGTCCAACCCCCCCCCCGCCAAAAGCAGAGTCATCTAGAGCAGGCTGGACAGGAACGCATCCAGGCAGGTTTTGAATCTCTCTAGAGAAGGAGACTCCACAACCTCTCTGGGCAGCCTGTTCCAGTGCTCTGTCACCCTCAAAGTAAAGTGGTTTTCCCTCATGTTGAGATGGAACTTCCTGTGTTCCAGTGTGTCTGTTGCCCCTTGTCCTGTCACCGGGCACCACTGAGAAGAGCCTGATCCCATCCTCTTGACACCCACCCTTTAGATATATATAAGCACTGATAAGATCCCCTCACAGTCTTCTCCAGGCTAAACAGACCCAGGTCTCTCAACCTTTCCTCATAAGAGAGGCGCTCCATTCCCTTGATCATCTTAGTAGCCCTCTGTTGGACTCCTTGAACTGGGGGGCCCAGAACTGGACACAGTACTCCAGATGGGGCCTCACCAGGGCAGAATAGAGGGGGAGGACAATCTCCCTCGACCTGCTGGCCATGCTCTTTTTAATGGACCCCAGACCATTGGCCTTCTTGGCCACAAGAGCACATTGCTGGCTCATGGTCAATTTGTTGTCCTAGTGGACTCCAAAGTCTCTCTCTACAGAACTGCTTTCCAGCAGGTCAACCCCTAACCTGTAATGGTGCATGGCGATATTCCTCCCTTGGTGCAGGACCCCACACTGGCACTAGGTGAATTTCATCAGGATCAGTTTGGATAGGAACCATCAGTTGGATAACAATAGGAAGAAACGTCTGTCAGTGTTCTGTTTTTAAGCCAGCTCCCCCCCCCCGCCAAAAGCAGAGTCATCTAGAGCAGGCTGGACAGGAACGCATCCAGGCAGGTTTTGAATCTCTCTAGAGAAGGAGACTCCACAACCTCTCTGGGCAGCCTGTTCCAGTGCTCTGTCACCCTCAAAGTAAAGTGGTTTTCCCTCATGTTGAGATGGAACTTCCTGTGTTCCAGTGTGTCTGTTGCCCCTTGTCCTGTCACCGGGCACCACTGAGAAGAGCCTGATCCCATCCTCTTGACACCCACCCTTTAGATATATATAAGCACTGATAAGATCCCCTCACAGTCTTCTCCAGGCTAAACAGACCCAGGTCTCTCAACCTTTCCTCATAAGAGAGGCGCTCCATTCCCTTGATCATCTTAGTAGCCCTCTGTTGGACTCCTTGAACTGGGGGGCCCAGAACTGGACACAGTACTCCAGATGGGGCCTCACCAGGGCAGAATAGAGGGGGAGGACAATCTCCCTCGACCTGCTGGCCATGCTCTTTTTAATGGACCCCAGACCATTGGCCTTCTTGGCCACAAGAGCACATTGCTGGCTCATGGTCAATTTGTTGTCCTAGTGGACTCCAAAGTCTCTCTCTACAGAACTGCTTTCCAGCAGGTCAACCCCTAACCTGTAATGGTGCATGGCGATATTCCTCCCTTGGTGCAGGACCCCACACTGGCACTAGGTGAATTTCATCAGGATCAGTTTGGATAGGAACCATCAGTTGGATAACAATAGGAAGAAACGTCTGTCAGTGTTCTGTTTTTAAGCCAGCTTTTTGCTCTGTTCTCAGTCACAGCCAAAGACAGCTGACAGAAAGGTAAATTAAATTCTTTCTTTGATGCGTTTCATAATTCTAAAGAAATTCTCCAGAAAGGCAGTCACAAATAAAATAAAAGCATTCACAGCTACACAGATACTTTACTATTTGCTGTAAGACTATGTATAAGCACTAGACTAATTAAAACTATTCATTTCTCCAGTAAACTATCCAAAAATTAGAAAGGCTGTACCAAATAAATAACTAGTAGAAACAGCCAGATCTCTTCTACCTGCACAGTGTTGGTTCTGTGGTTCTGGGATTGAAAACCCAAGCCTGATTCCTCTGGAAGTACACTGTACACGTACACACAAAATCAGAGTTC